TGGTGGTCTTGCCGGTGCCGGGCGGCCCGTGGATGATGGCGAGCTCCCGCTGCGCCAGCGCGAAGGACACGGCCTCCCTCTGCGACGCGTCCAGCGCCGCGTTGTGCAGCTGCAGGGGCCCTGCGGAGACAGCGCGGGGCGGCTCAGGCCTCTCCTGAACACAGGGCGCCAACACAGGCACGCGAGCAGGGTACGCCTGTACCTGCCCCAAACCAACCCCAGAGCAACACCCGGGGGAGCAAGGCACACCATGAACCACCCAGGGGACAGCACGAGTGCGAACTGCGGGGAGCCTTAATGTTTAAGGCTCACTTTGCCTTCAGGATGAATTACCCGTGCGGGTCACCCATCCTGCACCCCTCCTCCTCCCTCTTTTTCCTACCTGCCTGTGCTTCGGAAGGAGCAAGTGCTCAGTTTTGATCACGGCTGCTCTGTGTTAACACCTTGCAGCACTTAAAGAGGCATTTACTCATGGGGCTTCATAGAGAGGGGAGATCCTCTGGGGTTACTTTGAAGTTAAGTCAGAATAATTAACAATAAACCCTCAATGAAAACAGGGGGAAGCAGCTGATCTTTCACATGAATCATTGCTCTTCTGGGTAACAAACCTAATGTGGTGCTAGGGGAAAAAGCAGCAAAAAAACTACAGAGTCTGTGAGCTGAAAAGAACAGTCTTGTATCACTCAGCAGTAACTGGAAGGGAAACAGGAGGAGAAGACACAAATAACCATTATAAATGATGAAAACTAAAATTAGGGTTTTTTCCCAACAATCAGAAAGAAAAAAAAAACGAGAAAGACTATGCAAATGTCATTACAAGATGGTAGGACTCACTGCAGAAAAAAAAACAGGATTCTCACTAGCCTTTTTTTTTAACTTGCAGATTTATCTAATTTGAACCCATACTCTCATCCCACATAATGCTGCTGCTAATCTCCTTGCTCATTATGGTGAGTTAATTACAGCAGAGATGACTCATTAAACTGAGTTTTACTGAAAATAATGTTTCCACCAAAGTTTATATTAAGACCAATCTCTGAGCATATTTTAATCTATCTTTACCTTTGTGTTTAGGTTTCTAAAAGCTTCCTTGGGTTTTAAGCAGGCTAACTGACGTGCAGCTCCCATGTAACCTCTGGTGCACTGACTTTTGGAGCAATGCAACCAAATGAGATGTCTGGGGGGAAAAGAATAACCTAAAGGAGTTAAAAAGGGATGTTTGGGCAGGGAAGACACAAGACTAACGCTGTCTCTCCCTTGCAGCTTGCTGCTTGCTTTATCTGGGGTTAATGTGAGGTTAGATGGTGTGTTGGGGACTGAGAGAAGGGTGAGCACCCCCGGGCCAGCGGGAAAAGAAATGAAATCCCAACCCGAGAGGCACTTCCCCCACGGAGGAGCAGCTGGCGCGTGGGAGTCACTGATGTCTCCGTGCTGGCGGAGGAGCCCGGAAGCGGCTTCCCGCGCACACGCATCCCGCGTTCCCGCCGCCTGCCGGAGCGGGGCTCCTCCGCGCTCCCGTCCCGAGCGGCAGCCGGGCTCCGCGCGGGGCCGGCCCTGGCTCGGGATGCGCACGGATCTTCCCAGCCGGCCCCTCAGCCCCACGGGGCTCTGCCCAGCTCCCTGCGCCAGGCAGCGGGGCCCTTTCCCGCACAGTAACCCGGGGCAGGAGCGTGCCCGAGCCTGGGGCTCAAGGCAACGCAAGGAGCTTCCGCAGGAAAGCCGGGTCGGATGGGGCCCTCCTGGAGGACAGGGCCTCCCGCAGCACAACCCCACCGCAGCCAACCCCGGCAGCGCGAGGAGGGGCTGCCCTGTCCTCACTACTGACCGCTGGGCAGGTGAGCTGTCCCGATGACCCAGTTTTCCCACCAGAGTCAAGGTCCAGCTCGTGGCCCCTTGAGGACAGCAGGGATCACGCAGCAGGTGGACAAAGGAGCGTCTGGGATTACGCAGGTGGCTTGGCACAAGCCCAGGGCACAGGGGAGCAGAAGGGGGAGCTTTGGGGTAAATTCCTGTTGCTTCCCCAGGGCTCTGTCTGCTGGGCTGGCTTCACTGGGAACACCCTGCATTTTGACCAGGCTTTCCTCTTTCTTTTTAGAGCAATTAAGCAGAGTTAGCTTAAGCAGTGCTTTTTGTACTTCATGTGGTCCCGTGAGCCAGCCAGTGCCTGGGCCTGGTGCTGCTGCTTGAGCTGCTCCAGGCAGGTTCTGACAGGTTCCTGGTCTCCCCTGCAGCGTGGGGCTGGGCCTGCCGGGCAGAATTCCCTGCAGGGGCGGTGAATCCGGGCACCCTTCCCGGAGCAGTGCTGGCCTCTGCCGGCAGCAAAGCCCCGCTCGGGCACGGAACCGCGGTCGGGATTCCCTGCGGACGGCCACCGTGAGAGCCCTAAATGCTTCTGCACTGAGGGCACAGGCTAAACCGGAGCAGATAAAACTCTTACTTATGGACATGCTTCCAGATTTTTCTTCCCACCAAGTCTGGCAAGACCAGGAACGCTGTTCAGGGTAGAGCTCAGCTTTTGGAAGGCCCGTTCCCCCATGCCATGGTATGAGAAAGCCAGTGCCAACTAACTTCTGGGTGAGAAGCCTGGGACTTAGCTTAGCAGAGCCCTCTCCCAGACCCACTTGCCCCAGCACAAGTTATGTCTGTGCCCATTGCACCTGGGAAGGGGCAGGCTCCGTGCAGACTCTTCCAGAGACTGGGGAGCAGCTGTGTGCACATTAGCAGCAGCCGATGATGGGAGTCAGCTGGAGTTGAGTAAAAGGGCATGAAATTGCTATCACTGCCATTATCCTTCTGTGCATAGTGGTGGTTTCTTCAGCAAGCCAAAATTATATGCTGGTCGGAGGCCAGCAGCCACTAACTGCTTTAAGACCGTGTTTCAGTCAGCTTTAGCAGACTGCTCAGCCGGGCACCGAGGTCAGGCAGCCTCCTGGGACAGGGCAGACTTCAATACGTGTCCTCCAGAGGCAGCATTTGGCAGCTGCAAACCAGTGGTGAGAAAATCAGAACAGAGCCCAGCAGCAGAACCCAAACACATCCACAGGCTGTTTATCCACCAGCAGGCCACAGAAGCCACCAGGCTGGTGGGCTGCTCTCTGGGTATGACCTGAAGAGACCCCACACGAATAATCTTTTGGAGAAGATGGAGATGCCTCTCCCTCCTGGCTAAAAGCTGCAGGTCAGGAAGCAGCCCAGTGCAGAAAGCACCAACAGAGCAGGGGGTGCTTGGGCTCTGCTAGCTTTGCTGCTGGAACGAGGAACTCCATCTCTCAAGGTGAGTGCTCTGTGTTCCAAACTGCACCGAGGGCCAAGGCCAGGGCACCTGCGGCCTCTTTCTTGAGGACGTGAAGCTTGCAGACCTGCTGTGTCTGTCACCCTGTTGGGGACACCCACCCCAGTGATGCGTGAGCCTGCTGACCAGTTCCAAACCACTTCCTGACCTCTGAGACTCCCATATCCAGACACGGGGTTGGGTGCCTATGAGCCCAGCTGGCCCTCCTGCTTCCTCATTCTCTGGGTATTTTGGCTCTTCCCAATGATTTGCCCAAAAGGCAGTGACAAGGGCTCCCTCTCCAGGCAGAGATCTCCTTCATTCTGAGCCTCTCTCTTGATCTTTCTTTCTGCATGTGTTGGTGTGGTTTTTTTCTTGTATATGGTGCTTATAAGATGTTACCTACTCCAAGTTTTCTAGGCACTTGGTTGAAGTGGAGCTTATAAGGCAGCCTGAAGTGGCATTAATATAGGTCTCCTTTCTATAGGCATCTGGTTTTATAGACGTATGCAGGAACCTCTCATTTCTGAGACTGTGATTCAGCCAAGCTGCTGAGTGCCCTGGCCTCCAACCCAGTGGAAGTGGGCAGCTCATGGCACCTGGCGGGACCTGTGTAAAGTTAAACTTGTTATTATTTAATTTCTGGCTAGTATAACCTCTTTCTGGTCGGTAAAAACAAGCTATATAGTGAGAAGCAAATGGAAGGCCTTTTCACCCTGTCACGGCGTTTTGCTGTTTTCAGGTACATGCTGTCCTATCACGTTGCAATTCCTCTCTCTAATGTGGCTGAATGTTTCTAGCAATCAATATCCTCAGTACTAGGGAGAGGAAAAATTCAGCTCTGTTTAGTTTGACATATCTTGGAAATCTTGTGAAAAGGAAATTTCTCTTCAACAGAGAGGCAGTTCTGCCACCACGGGGAAAAGGCAGAGCAGAAGCTGCCAAGAAACATGGTTTGTTGAAGTTTACTTCTTTTATCTAATATTAAAAACCTGACTGCCCCAAAGCCCTTGGTAGCCAAAAGACTGAGAGGTTTGACTTATCTTAAGCTGAGTGCTTAAAACTACAGAGGTATGGCTCACACTAACATTAATTCTTTGTCCTTGGTATATTGTACCAAAAAATCTAGCCTGGAAGTATTAAGAAAGGGAAAAGGGACACTCTACATGGGAGAGAAAAAAAAAAAGGAACAGTTGCATGCACCAAATCCCTAGGGAAAACCAAGTGCAGTAACCAAGATAAGCCAAGCTGCAAAAGCAAGCACAGAGCCCTGGGAGGAAAACCAGCACCAAGGCTCTACAGCAAGACCCTCCAGGCGAGCTTGCAAAGGCTGTTTTCTGCACCTCAGCAGAGGCCTGGCTTAGATGGACAACCTGCTTGATCCTGTTAAGCAATTTATTCTGCCTCTGCCTTCACTTCCCCCAGCTGAAGCAGCCCAGATAGATACTTTCCTACTTTCCAGAGATGCAGTAAGATCATTCACCAGCAATTGCCAAGCCACTGGATATTCTGCTGACATTCTGCTTTTAGCAGGTGGAGGCTTTGATTTCCCCAGAGTTCCTCTGAGGGAATAAGCTGCATAATTTCTTCTGTCACTTTTCTGAAGGCTCCCATCAAGGAAGATCAGAGTACAAGGGGATTCTGCTTGTATGTGTTTTGGAGGCAGCTGTTGGCAAAACTAATCTATGAGGTTTGAAGTGCCTGGTGCTGAAACCAAGGCAGCCTGTACAACTCCAACTTGACTGAACATAATCAGAAAGCTGTAAAAAAATATACACAAGTTCTCGTGCTGTTTCACACTGTGGCAACTGCACAGTCGCTTAATAGCCATGAAGGCTGAATTAATGGATTTTCAGTATCACAGAAGCAGCCCTGGCAGTTTCTGATCTTAGAAGTTTATGGATGGCAGCGGGGCCCAAAGCCAAACAAGCAAATCCTGATTCAGATTCAGGAACATTCGCGAGCAAATTGCCCCCTCTCAAATACTGCAAGCTTCATGCCCAGCTTGATATCCCGAGAAAACCAGCTCCCTGAGCAGCTGGGGGATCTCTGTCCTTCCAGTGACCATCAGGGGTTTTACACTGTCTGTCTGTTCCCAAAACAGGACGAAAAGCAGGTGTTCAGCACTGCCAGGCGCACTGTCACTACCTGCATGCAACCCCGGGGTCTTTCCCAGAGCAAAGTGTGCAAAAACATTTTGCACAAAGACAAAAACATTCCTGGGGGCAGTTTTCAAGGAGCTCTCCACCTGCAAGCTGGGCCAGGCCAAGCACAGCAGCAGTCTCGGTGCCCACGAGGGGCTCACAGCGCAGACGTGTCACACATTTGGCACATCCCGGGGTGATAACAGTTGTGAGATGCAGGGACAGACACATGGACTGATGGGAGGAGTGCTCACAAATGTCCCCTCTCACCCTGAGTGTCCAGAACATCTCTCTAGAAAGAAACCAGAAAGCACCCACAACCACCCTATCAACACTTATTTTAAAAATTCCTTACTTGTTTCACTGAAGGTGCTTGGCTCTGAAGAAAAGAAGAGGACATCAATCAGACCAGAGGCTGGACCACTGCGGTACTGACTTAGTGCAATTAAAGCCCTGTCAAAGAAGGGAAACACAAGATGATATGCACAATATGAATTCCTTCAGATACCCATCTACACTACGGGCTAGGGCGCTGCACTGCAATGGCAGAGGACTGTGGACAGATTCCTCTCTTTGGAAGCTGAGGGCTTTATTCCAAAGCAGACTGATCCTACCCACTTGCAGCAACCCTCATGCCTCGCACATGTTCCTCACATTGGCCATGCATTTTTGCTTTCCCTTATTGCTCTGGTTGGATACAGTCAGACTGTGCCGAGCCATGTCAGCAAAAAGCCACTCGCTTCTTCTGTCTGGATGGAAAACGCAGGGCACAGAATCCAGTGAGCACCAGAGCTGGTAAAAACGGGATCAAAATACCTAAGTGAGGGTGACACAGAGGGCAGGAGGTGGAAGAGAGGAGGGACAGGATTGTCAATAAGTGAGTAGGTAAGTTTATGCTGTTTGGGGCACTGTAGCACAAGACACCTGGCTGAGTCAGCTCAGTAAAGGACAGGGGTTTCCTCAGCAGAAAGGCAAAGTGAGAAGGTGGCTGCTTCTCCAACAATGCAGCTGCTGGAGGACTAAGGGGGAAGGAGGCAGGAACTGAGAGAAACGAAGACCAGTGAAGTAAACTGAGGTCAGGCCCTGGGCGCCCTCCCCACCACGACGTTTTGGAGGGCTGCTGCACCCGGGAGCTGTGCTTACTTCTTCAGCCTTTGGTAGGTGACGTCGTTGGCCAGCTTGAGCAGGCGGTAGGAGCCCTCGCGCCCCACGCTCAGCAGGACCTCCCGAGGCTCCTCGAAGGCCACGGTGACGGCGGCGGCGGCGACGCGCGTCACGACGCCCGTGGAGAGGGCATCGCCCGGCCCCGCCGACTCGGACAGAGCCACCACGTCCCCTGCCGAGGGGAGGCGCAGGGGCGGCCGGATCCTTCTGCCTGCTGGCAGGAGGCCACGGGCAGGGAGGAGACCCCGGGGAGCCGCTAACCAGCTGCCCTCAGGCCTCCATGCGCCAGAGGTTGGCGTGGGGACCAGCAGGGCTCCCCACAGCCCGGGCTGTACCGAGGACCCCCCTGGTTTTGCACAGATCTTGGGAGGACCCAGCTTCTCTGAACGCCCAGACAAACCAGCTCACATCCACCTAGTTTTCTAGCTTGCTTTCCATTTGGAAATTAAAGGGTAACGACCTCATTGCCTGTCCCAAGGGCAGGTAAAGACACAAGCACCAACGCTCGCTTTGTACAAGGGGCGCCACGACCCGTGTGACCGCAAGAGACCAAGGCCGTTTTCCTCCACATCCACCCT